GATATATCTCATCTTTGTTTCTGAAAAGGTACATTTAACAGATTTTCCGGATTTAGAAAACATCAGGTTCTGATCAAATCTATATATTTGTACCATCAGCCAAAAGGATTGTGTATCTGTAAATGTCATTTGTATGGATTTATTTTCAAAAGGATATAGGACATTCATTGAAGGTATCTTTTTGTTTCTTTCCATATGCACTGAGAAAATGTCTTTTCTCTTTTTTTAAAGTAGAAAGCTGTTCAGGTTTTATTTTTTCCAATGTGCATAGGGAAAACACAGTATGCAATGCAACAGCATTAGTAAAAATACATGTTTCTGCTACCCACACAAATTGTGTGGAATTTCATCATCAACTGCTATTTGTTCCATTACCAATGCAGGAAGCCTCTAGACAGATTGTAAGTTGTTGTACGGATTATTGTTTCTGTGATGGAACAGAAATAGCTTCTCCTCTGCTGCTAACTGGGGCACTGTACTCTTACCCTTGATTTCCCCTTGATTACTGGGTAACAATTCGAACAATAGATGAAGAGTCACTGCTCATTGCTTACTCTCTGTTCCTAACTATAACTGTTTCCCCCCAAACCCATACAAGCAAACAGAATGCTGACGTAGATGGGACCACTTACATGCAGTTTTTGGTCTAATCTCAAAGGAAACTCACTTTTAAGAAACAGCGGATAACTGCACATGAGAGCATCTGAGAAAATGCACCCTATCCTCCTTCCTTCTTTTCTTCTTTTTTTTTTGTCTAGCATTTCTTTTTTTTTAAAAAATAGGCAGGTGTAATGGTAAGGATAGTGTAACTTTTCACAATGAGGCACAACAGGAGTCACCTTGTAACGAATCCATGTTCACTGAAGCCTGTGCTATCCATGTTTCTGAGGACTGGTTTCAGACAGTTTTGATGTGCTACAAAAATCTGATTGGCCAGAAATCATAGTGGCGCACAAAAAACAAAGATGTAACGCTGAGGCAATGATCACTCCACAATAGCACTTTCAAGACAGGGTGCTATTATTTCTAGCACCATTTCTAGAAAGTGGTTGATGGTGCTGGAATCTCTGTTAGCATAGTGCCGAAATTCTGAAGAAAGTTCCCAGAGAGATCAGCCTGGCAATGGAGCTAGTTGGTGGAACCCAGAGAAGGTCAGCCAAGAGATAGCTGCACCCCCCTCCCCAAATTAAGAGTCCTTTGATTTTGGCTAAAAGAGATATTCTGAGCACAGTGGCTTAGCCTGGCCCCCATAGTTTTCCTAATAAGCCCACCATCACCTAATGAAGTTTCATTTGGAAGTGCCCCACAGTATGTTGTCTCAGGGGCTGATTCTCCAATTAAATAATGGTAGAATCACCATATACTTTCACAGTGTGGACACTTCACTCTTAAAAGCATCACAACATATGATTAGTAATTTAAGATGACCATCATTATAACCTGCTCTTTCTCTAGAAAAACAAGAGCAACTTTAATGGGTTTTCAGTGGTGTCTCACAAATATATTGATGAGGTCACATCTCCTCACCTTCATTCAGTAAGATTCTACAGTAACATAACTCATGTGGTATTCCCTCGGATTTCCAATGTGCTGCCCCCGTCATTGCACGCTTGCTAGAACAACCTCACCACAACACTAACACAGATTTTGTTTGCTATAAGTCGTCATAAAGATGAGAAGTTCTGCATTACAGTACAGAAATAACTCAGTATTTCCAGTTAGATAAACAGTTATTATAAGCAGAGAAACTGTAAAGCAAGGCACTTCAAATGATATAGAAACTTGTCTTTAGAAGCACCAGGTTTTAAAATTTTTATTTCCTCACTCCAAAATTCAACACGCTCTGTAGATTTAATAACTCCTTCACATTCCAAGACAACGTGAGGCATGAAAAAGAGACAATTCAAGCTTTAGGGAATATTTGAGAGCTTTGTGTACATCTTGGACAAGGTGATCACCACGCCTACTGTGCAGAAATAAACGGAGAAGTATGATTGGACAAATTCATCCCTGATTTAAATCACACACTAATATGCAAACTATGACCAAAACATAAGAAATGGAGGCATGTTAACTTTCATTTTACTTAGCACACTTTGGATACATTAGTTTCAGGATGGCGAGGTGGAACCATGACTATTGTGCAGTATCTGGCATCTCCATCAAAGCTGTCATGAGTGAGTGCCATCCTGAATCAGTTAAAAACAACAACAAGCCTCTCTGGAAAAAATTAGTACAGTGATGCATTCCTCAGTTAATCAACATGTATTCTCTTCAGGCTCCATGGTTCAAACCAGATGGTACAGTAGCCCATTATTAAAACAGGGAATTCCTTACGTGCTCAAAGATGACTGATTGTCATAGCAGAAACTTTTCTCCTCTCCCATAGCTGTCCAATTAGCTTGCTCTGTTTAGTGATAGGTCATTGGGAGGTGAATGAGGGCTTTGTTTGCAAGTGATATTCAGGCATAAAGCTTGGAGGGAGTTAATGCTGCTAGATCACCAAAACACTTTCAGCTTCTAATGATGTGCTAGCTGCATCATCTAGTTTAACCCTTAACATACAACTACACTACTGTCTTTCCTTATTAATAGTAGAATTGAAACCATAAATTAATGTAACAGTATGAGAGCTATTTCAATATAGTTGGATGCCATATATCTGTACTGATGTCTGTGGAAAGAAACCTTCCATGGAAATCAGATGAAGTGGTGTCTTTCTGCATCAGCCTTACCACCTTTTAGGGCCTGATCATGATGGCAGAGAAAGCAACCGCACAAATCACCCACTTCCAGCTGGAATGAGACTGATCCACAGGGAAGCACTTCTCATGTAAATCTAGTAAGTAAGCATTTTGCTGTAAAGTAGGCTGTAAAAATAACAGCCCTAAAAAAAGTTTTCTGTCTAAACTCCTGGATGGTGGATATACTCTAGCTCCCAGCCCCCTCCCAACTAAGATGTGCATCTGAGGTTAGTTAAGCAGGGAAAACACCTATCTGGTACTGGCACTTAATATCTATAAAGTAAATATCCTGATTGTCCAAATGTGGATAAAGTCTGATATAAATGGAAAACTACTGGAGAACAATTCCACAAGCCCTTCCTACATGTATCAGTAGGACTAACAGATATTTTAGATGTAGGCAGTTCATATGCCCAAGGCTTGTGTCTTTAGGTTCATCTAGATGGCCTAATTTCTCCCCCTCCATCCACTTGGAGCTGAAAGGGCACAGATTGGAGACGGGCATAAACTGCCAGTTTGTTTCTTGACTGAACAGGTGTCTGGCAGTTCTCAGCCCTGCTTCCTCCAGTAGGCACCCACTCAGAGGCAACTCCTTGGCTTTCCTGTCTCGTTTCCTCTGGACACTGCCCCCGAGTAGGTGCCCACCAGAGAAGGCGGGGCTGGGAACCCCCCAAACACCTGTTCAGCTGAGAAACGAACTAGCATAATCCAGCAGTTCAGTGGTTTGTGCCCATCTCCAGTGCAGATCTTATTGGGATTTCTGTCCACACTTAATTTGTTAAAACCCCACTTCTCATTTAAGAAATCCAGCTCTTCTAGAATTGTTTCTAGGACATTTCAAAATGCTTGAAGAAACGTTTCTAAGACGATATTCTTTTCTGGGTTTTGTTTGTTTTCTATAGTCGTTCAATGTTTAAATTGAAAACCTTTCCCTTTGCAGTTTTGAGAGAGGGATAAGCCTTGCTTCTAAGCACATGGCTTTCTTTGCTCATGGAGTGACTTGGTTTGGGGAGGAAGGGAAGCCCATGAAGTTTGGCAGTCTGAGCCGGCCAGTCTGCTAAGAGACACTTCTTGGACAATACCCTTTTGACTTAAGCAGCATGAACCCTCCGAGCACCAAAGTGTTTTTGTTTACCTAACAGGAGTCTGTCAATTCTGCTTTGTTTTCTTTCCAGCGTTATCTCTGGGGCTACTGAGCTGTTGTTTTACATCTTTGTATGAATTTTCATTCTAACCTTCATGTTAGAGCCTTTTTAGATATACACGAAGCTGAGGAGTCCTTTCTTACCACCTGCACTGTGCCTCAGTATGAAGTGAAACAAACAAACAAATGATTAACCAACCAGTCATCTACACGAGGTTCTGTGAAAAACATAGAAAGCCAGAGTTTTGTCTCTCTTTGTCGCTGTGGATAGTGACATAACATTTGCATAAGCAGGATTGCAAGAAAAGTACTGTATATCATCAGTGCACAACCAGGTACACATTTAGGATCAAATGTTCCATCTAGATGAGCCCTAAATCCGCTGACCACTAGATAGGGTCTGAACAAGGACATACAGGGTAATATTTTATGCTTATAGTACAATATAATTTGGTGACAGTGAAATGCATTTCTGTCTTAAGAATATCTCTCTACATTAGCAACAACCTGCTGGCTACAGTTTGTCCACCTGTGGTCTAAGGCAGTGGTTTCCAAACTTGAATAATCAGGTATTCTTGGACTAAAACTCCCAGAAGCCTTCACCACCAGTTGCACTGGCCAGAATTTCTGGGAGCCTTCGTCTAAGAACCTGGGGACACAAGGTTGGGAAGCACTGGCCTAAATGACAATAAGAATGTGTCTCTAGAGAAATTTATCTGTGTAAATACAGATACAAGTTCCAGATGAAATTGGTGACTGCTGATGTATGTTGTAGAATGAGTTGAAGATGACATGAACCTATAGGTCAGTGGTGGCGAACCTTTTTAGACTTGCGTGCCCAAACTGGGAAATAAAAACAAAAAACAGTGGCAGTGGCGGACCTGGTAGACCCGGAACCAGAAGTGGCAGTGGAAGGGGGAACCCCAGCATGGAGGTGCCTCAAGACCCCTCCGCTGCCAACACCAGTTGCTCCGGATCCACCTGCTGAAGTGCCAAACCTCCTGAGGTTTGGCTGTGTGGGGGAGCGGGGGGGAGTAGTGATCTGGCGACCCATGGCTCGTGTCCCAGCAGAAAGGGCTCCGCATGCCAACTGTGGCACGCGTGCCATAGGTCCGCCATCACTGCTATAGGCTAAGGTGTATGTAACTACTGACACAGAAAACGACACATTCTGAGGCAAGTCTCAGCCACTAGCTGTAGTACATAAAGGCCCTACTGATTGCATTGATGGCTTCTTTTCTGGCCATGGCCTGGGTCTATTAAAGGAGTCATCATAACTCAGTCATGATGGATGTGAGGAGAGGACTTTCAAATCCTTGCAGTGAATAAGGATAGAGACTAACAGGTAGGCGGCAGCAGCATGGTGCAAACTATGATGGTTACTAAGGTATCTGGGTCCTGGAATAAGGACAGTGAAGCAGCAGGGAAGCATAAGAGCAGTGAGCAGCTAATCTGACCAATTGCTCTATTGGCCAAGAGTGTATTAAAGGAAGCATGTGGATTCACAGGTGTATGTTGTTTCAGCCTTTGTGTTGAAGGGGTAGCATTCTCAGAGGTATGCTTTGGCAATGCAAGCACATCTCATGATAGATGTCTTGCTACCTTTGTGGCTGGGCGAAGATGAGATCCTTGGAGCTGAATGCATTTCTGGGAAAGGAGCCACTATTTGAATATGTTGACATTCTGGAGCAGGAAGGTGTGTGCTGTTGAAAGAAACAGGGGCTGCTCTCCTGTCATGTAGACATTTATGTAGGAGAGAGTTCTCAAATCAACACAATATCCTTGAGCTCTTAGGACCCCTTCACTGCAGACGTTCCAGGATCTCCATCCTGGTCTGTGGGAACCATTTCTATGTTGAACAATGTGGAAGAGCTGTTGTCATGCTAGATGTGTGGGACAACAACTGTAATCCCTTACCATAACAATCATGGCTGAGGCATCTGGGAAATGATGTTAGAAACATCTGGAAGACCAAAGCTTTCCTATTCTCAGTGTAGAGAGCATCCATGGCTCCATTTGTAGCTGCCAAGGGAATACAGATGTGTGTACATGGCTTTCCATGGAATGGGCAGACAGCTGCGTGACAACAGTTTTCATTATTTACAGCTATGGCTGTGTGGAGAGTTTGCCATAGGAATGCTGCTTTGTTACATCCCTATGTCTCACATTTTTCTGATGCTCTGCTGCCAAGTGGTGGGAGTCGAATCATGTGGTGTTTGAAGCACTGAATACAAATGTGGTCATATCTCAATTTGATCATGGAGGAAACTCAAAACTACGAAACCATTGTTCTGAAATATATGCTCTTGGTAGCATTTCTCTCTAAAAATGTATTGTATACACATGTCTTGGGCGGGTGGGTATCAGTCAAATGAGCACAAATAATGAATATGGTTTAGTTTTAATAACCGAGGGAAGATAACTTGGTGGAAAACATGTTATAGTGTCAGCTATATCCTTTGCCTTAGCACTTTTGCCAGGTGAAGAGATTACAGCTCAGTAGACCAGTGTATGCACAGACAAGAACCCAGGCTTAATCCCTGATATCTTCAGGTCCAGAAATAGCTTCTGAATGAGATCTTGGGGAGTTGCTGCCAGTCAGGCAGTGTGCAGAAACTGGCCTCTCAGTCTGATTCGATTCAGCACAGTCCGTTACAGCCACAGTCTCAGTCAGAGAGGCTGAGTAAGTGGGGCAAGGGTATAAAACCGCCCATCTGGAGAAAGTCAGCCGTGCTCAAGTCCTCTTGAAAAGAATGGGACTCTCTTACACAGGCTACACACCACCAGCAGCCACTTTCCCAGAAATTGGACTGAATTGTATCAAAAGATGACTTTGTGCAATGGGGTGATGTTCAGTCAAAAATGTGCCTGTAAACATGTGATTTTAAATCATCATCATCATCATCAAGAAGAAAAATTGTATCTAACTCTGGATCGAACTGACACATTTGGATTTTAGAACATGTTAAATCATGAAAAAGAGGAATCCCTCTGCCTTTGAGAATTAACATTTTGGATTTTTCTTTTCCTGTTTGACACAGTATATAATCATTAGCAGTATGTATGATTCATGTTAGGGGAAGGAGGTGTAAAAGTGCATAAGTATATTTATACATTTGTGCTGTGAGCTTACTACTTTCATTACTAAATTGACAGCTAATTATAATTAGATGACAAAAGCCATTATTTTGAAATGTGTACAGTTTACATGGTCATTGCCTTCAAGGCAACAGGAGTGGCTTCCTTGAAAATGTTTAACTAACTGCTTCTTTTATGAACACTAGAAGGGTCATCAAAACAAGGCTGTCTCATCTGAACCACTCCTTTTTTGACTAGGCTGGTTTAGGTAGTAGGGACCTCGCTTATGCCTGGGTGCTCATGGATAGAGATCCCCTGGGTGGGAACCCACCTGCCTCTCTACACTTGGGTGTAGAGGGATTCAGACAGAAATCCCTTTTCCCTCAGTTAGACATTCCTCATGTTAAGGCTTAGCAGCTAGGCACAAAGTTCGTGCCATGCACTGGGATGTCCTTCAGTACCTCACCTTGCATCAAGCAGAAGTGTCTTAGAGCTCTCTCTATTCCTGGTACCCAAGCTATTCATAGCAGGAGAAGTTTTGATACCACATACTGAGGCTACTGAACATCAGCTACTGGATAGTTGGCAGTAGCATGCAGGAGGGTCACAAGCAGCATAACAAGGGAGAGAGAAGTTTACACTAATATCCTATGAGACCAGATCACAACCCTGGGCTTATGTACATTCTTTCACATCCCATAACCATAGAGGCAGTTAGACAGACTTTTGATGAAAGCACCTAAAAGTACATTTTTCCTCTTATGAAGTCACATCATTCCATGTTTTTTCATGTCTGAATTGTTTATGCATGAACAAATGCACAGACATGAAGGAGGGCTAACATCCCTCTCCCATTTTGAATTTCCATAAAGAAATGGACATCTGAAAGCACAATAAATTATCTTCTTTGATCCTTCCATCTGCCAATCATGAAAGGACACCTTCTCCTAAGCAACACAAAAAAGATAAAAGCTGGTTGACAAAACATTTCCCCCCTACAAATATGTGTCAACCCTGAGCTTGTAATTAAGAAGTTAAAATCTGTGATATACTGTATATATATATATATAAAAATAGATGGTCATACTAAGACTAAAAAAGTGAAAGAAATTTTGCATGTTGATAATATATATATATATAAGTTGTGTCAACACTTTAGCAACAGAGTTCCCTTCTGATACAGAAACTGATATAAAGGATGCCATTTCTGTGCAAAAACTAACATAGGAATCCAGTTACCGTTATCATTTCCTTTGAAAACAATTTTGGCTTGGTAATGAACACAATTGCTGCCAAACAAGCAGCTAAAGGAAAAAAAAGACCTTTGTCCCACTGTCATAAAGACCTGAATTTAAAAAGTTTAAAGAATTGTTAAGACTTCACCACGAACAGATGATGCTGGACAACCTGGTGGACTCCTGTGTCAATCACATACCATGGATAAAAAGTAAAGCAATTAGGAGGCATTGTTAGAATTCAAAGGAGACATGGGCTAAATGAGGTTTCTGAGGAATTATGTTATACTGTTACTAATAGTTTTCCTATTTTGTTTCAAACCTAAGGGCAAAGATTCTGTTTATGGCCAACAGAGCCCAAAGCATACATTTGTTTATGGCTGGCTCAAGATGTTTTGCTGCATGAGGCAAAAGCAAGATAGCGCCTCCCTCTTTCATTCTATGTACAGAAGCAGCTGGGCTGGCAGTTGGCTTTTATTACAGCACTGATGATGGGACAGAGTCTTCCATTATACCCAAGGACTGCTGATGAATGTAGGGGGTGCTGGCCAGGCAGTGAGGTGCAGCCATTTCTGTCCTCCAACTGTGGGGAATGTCTGGGAGGCTCAGGAAGAATGGACTTGTGTCTGCCCCATGCTGCACCCCGTATCAGTGGCTAGAGGCAATGGTCTTATTCTATATAATGGCAGGGCCAGTCTTTGACTGGTTTCTGTGTTACAAAACAGAAGACAAAACTCAAAGATATTCCCTCAGTGCTCAACAGCATTGTGGTGACCTGACATGCAATATGGAAGCATCCTGGAAAAGAAGCTTCACCTCTTCCTTGGGTTTTGTATGTTATGGGCCTTGGGCTTTGCTTGATTTTGAATAACACACCTTTGTTTCTCTTCTCTTTTTCTGTCATGGAAAACCACTCCTTGTACACTAAATAACAACTCCCCCCCCCTCTTCCTGCAGCATAAAAGCAAATTAAGCTTCAAAAATTTATCCTGTAATAAAAATTGTGAGAAAGAGATCTCTGAGGCATGGACATTGTCTTCACAGCTATCTGAAAAAAAGGAGGGAAAACAGTCCACTCTGACACCTGGTACTCTTTGGGAAAGCACAAAGGGGGAGCAGGCTGCTCTCTTCTGGTAGAAAACAGTATGTCTTTGTGGCACGGTCCATGGTCCAAGAGCGTAAGAAAAGGAGAAAGTTGGCTGTGTTGTTCTATTTCTTCCTCAATAGCTAAAAGACAGTCACCACTAGTCAGAACCAGGATTATCTGCACTGTCTTTGCAACAGGAGGACCAGGCAGACGAGAAGCCATGTGAGCCCTGATTGGCTAGGATGGCTTGCTGAAGAGTCCACTTCCCTTCGGTCTGAGTCGACGAGGGGGGCTTCTGTGGTGACAAATTCAAATTCAGTTGGGCAAATGTCATCAGTGCAACCGCTCCCACTTCCTGAGCCACTGGTCTCTTCACCTGCAGGAAGTGTGAAGAGGAAGAAGAACAGAGAAAGGGGATGAGAGAAAAGCACGTGTTATTTTTCACCTATGTTGGCTCCCAAAGGTACAGATATTTTAGATCCTGAAACAGGAAATTGGAGCTTGGGACAAGTTACTTTTTTTCCCAAAATCATCTGACCAGTGAGTCTTAAAAAAGGTAGTTTTCCAGAACTCTAGTGTAGTAGTTCTCAGCTTTGGGTAACCCAGATGTTCTTGGACTACAACTCCCAAAAACCTCAAGCAGCACAGCTGGTAGTGAAGGGTTCTGGGAATTGCAGTCCAAAAACACCTGGGTTACCCAAAGTTGGGAACCACTGGTCTAGCACATTGATGATGTCACAGAAAATGGACCAGCCATAAAGCAAATACTACTCTCATACTTTCCTCAAGATATGAGAGCTACTGCGGTGTGGATCCTCAGTGCACTCACTGGGTTATGTAAGAGGACAATGTCCTAAAGGTATGATGCTGGTGTGGGGAAAAGCTACAATGACATTTTTCTCTCACACAGCTAAGGATCTCTTGTGTGTGTAGTTGATGGGGAAATCAAACGTGTTTTCCATGCCTTTACGTGGAAGTGAAAGAGGCTTAAAGTGCTCATCACTGGCTGGATCATACTCATCATTCGTGGATCAAAAAAGCTGCTCAAACAAAACCGTGAACAGAAACAGCTGCCTGCCCACATGCAGCCTCTCATACTTGTGAAAAGGAATCGGCATTGTTGCACATTGACCATAAACACTAGAGGCTGTGTACAGACATGGTCATATGTAAACACACTGAAATCAGTGCTTGAAACTTAAGTCAGTCATGAATAACTAATTTCCCATTGCTTTCAATGGGTCTAGTCTACATCTGGTTAAAACCCTATATTTTCTTATTAGAACGCAGGGATGTGATGAGTACTTTTAACATTTCTCATTACCAGCAATTTTCTGATTCTCACTATCCTGACACTTCCTGCCAAGACTTCCTTGTGCACCACTGAGATTTCCTAGCTTCTTTTAAAAATGAGTTCCAACTCTCATTGTCCCTTTTATCCGCCCCCCCTCCATTTTTGGGGGCCCATTGTTTTGTGCATGAAACAGTCACATTCTGAGCAACTTCATGCTCTTTCCTGAGAATCATTTGCTGGAAAGACGCCATTTGTGTGCAAGAGTGGCACTGATCTTGAGCAACAGTGTTTCCTCTGCCCTTTCTAGGTGATTCCTGTGCAGGAGAAATGCAATTCTGTACAGGAATTTTAACGGTCCTGTGCAATTTGGCATTTCTTTCAAGAAAAAAAATGACTATGAAATTTCTGAGAAATCTTTCAGGATTTCCTGTTTTTGAGGTGGTGGTGGAAGAATCTCACCCAGAGAAATCTAGTTACAAGGAGAAAAGGGGGTCCTCCCATCCAGTTGCTCTCCAAGAGCTAGAGGCTGCAAGATTCACATGTGTATGAAACACCTATACTGTATCTGCTAGGTTGCTTTCAGTACATATGAGATCCTTGACTTGCCTGGCTGGTAAAGCGAAGGAAATCTCTTTTCTGTATTAGTAACTCCTTTTTAGAGTCTGGAGATAAGTTTTAGAATACTTCACATTCAAGAGAAAAGTAAAGAAACAAGCAAACATGCTGAGAACACAAAACATCAGTTCTGTATGGGATTACGATCTAATTGCCAACATTCTACATTCATTTCCTTAATATGTATTCATTAGTCTGTTGCTCAAAGTAGGACAGAGTTTGAACGTTATCAGAGGGGGCTCTGCTAAATGAAGAATCCTCCTTCTAATCTACAGCCACTGAAGGCTGCACTTATAAGTTCTGCTGGATCAGTCCAAGGGTCTGGCTGTTGCAGCATACTTTTCATGGAGTGGCCAGTTAGTTGTCTGTGGAACTCTTCATGCAAGAAATTAACCCTGCTCTAGATAAATTCAGCAAGGGTCTCATAGGTCCCATGTATGGTTTCCCTTGCCTTAGTGGAAACTGTCAACAGAGATTTTAGGCACACGCCCAAATGGAGGTACAACATTATTTTGCTGCTCTACTACATCGCAGAGCTTGCCACAGTTCATTTATATGTATTTGCAAACAGAACTATTTGTCTTTTATGCTATGTTTCCATTTTGGTCAGCCATGGATAATATGAAAATCATTTTGGATTGAGCAGTGACTCCTTAGTATAATGCTTCAATTTACCTTAAAGGCTTCCTAGTTTTGTATAATAAATACATGCTGATATATTGATGCTTCAGAAATAATTAAACATTGGGGGAAGGGGGGAAATTGCTCACTCATGATTTAGGATTGCTCACTAGTCTCTGTTTCTGCTATTGATTCATACTCAATTAGGCAACCTATAGCAGGAAAGCCATTTGTCAGTACTTTTTTTTTTCTTGTGGTCACTCCAGAATCAAGGTAAGAGTGTTCGAGGTATTATGGATTTGCATCTTTCTGATGGTTTGGGGCCATACACATTATTGTTGGATAAGAATTATTTTCTTCCCTTGTTCTGTGAGCAATTATGTGGTGATTCTTAAGATTATTTCTGCCTCTATGAGAGGAAGGAGAAACCCCCAAAGTTCTATTTTTTGATTAGATAGCAAATGAATATATAACCACTACTGCTGCTTCAGAATCTAAGTCCCTTGTCCCTAGAAATCATCAAATGCATCTGTAAGAGTGGTCGGACTGAGAGAAAGGCCTGATTATTTTAACAGCCAAGCAGTTTCATAAAGGGAGATGTGGACCTTGAGATAGCTCGGAACCAAGCTGTTAAGCCACTGGCTGATCCAAAGCATGCTAAATAAAAGATACATAGCCGAGGAAAAATCATGTGTTAGGACAAACAGACATCTTTAATCATTGAAAGGAAAACGACTCCTACAAACATGCTAAACATATTATTTAGTTTGAGCCTAAGAAAATGCTTTAAATGTTTTGTATCCCTAAAAGCAACACTGTAATGATAGCAGATGAAGACAAATTGTCCAATACTCATAGTCTTACTTGTGTCCTGAAAGTTAACGTCATTTCCATTGTATGCATTCTTGAGTTTGTTGGTCATGACTCTTAGGGCCATGATTTGTTGCCTTATATAGGTGTCAGGCCTGGTGATGTCCACATCCACTTCAGGATTGTTGATCTGGTTGGTAAGCCCATCATTCATGATCTCTGGTAGATACCTATACATAAGAATGGAGAACCAAGATGTACTATTCTTAAAATATATTATTATTTCCCTGAGCCAGGACATGAAAGTTCAATTTCCTCATGCAGCAAGTGGCTATGATTTGCTGCGAATATCTCTATCTTGATCACTCATTCAATTCACTCAGTCTTTTTAAAGGTTACCCTTTGTTTGCTTATTCTTAAATTGATGTTAACAGCCAAACTGTGCTTCAGAAATGTCACCTTAGATGAGCAGTAAACCATAATCCACATTTTGAAATTTACAGGGAAATAATAATTGATTGTACCAGTTTATAGATTTTAAAAGCTGTTTGCTTCTTTGTACAGCCCAGTCCGCTAGTACAACAGTTCAGTTTCTGAAATCTATTTTGATATATGCAAGTTTTTTTCTTCCCCAACAGGGGACAGAAGAAAGGATTTTTAAATGAACCATGTATATCTTGAAGAAGGAAGCAATCACTGTTATCCGTGTAAGTTAATATTGTTAACCTTATTCAAGAAAAAGGAAAGATTCTACCAAGTGTAGCAAATGGTACTCAAGACACAGAGCTGAAACTTGCCAACTGCCTGTGCCTCTCTGTCTTTTTGTTCTTATTCTCTTTAGTGTAAGAAACCTTAAGCCATTAACAAATGTGATAATAATGTTGTGTTATTTTCTTTCCCAACTAACCAGACCCAACTTTTCAGAACAAGGCTCAAAGGTAGATTCTATCATTCTCTATTTATTTCCTTCAATTATTCTTGTTGTTTACAGAACTCAGCTTCAAAATAACTGAATACGAAATGGGGGACTTTAAATAATTACTAGATCTGAAATGCAACCAAACACCGCTGTCTCTTTGCCTGAGGACAGTGGTTTCCAACCTTGAGTAGACCAGGTGTTCTTGGATTGCAATTCCCAGAAGCCTTCACTACCAACTGTGCTGGCTGGAGTTTCTGGGAGTTGCAGTCTGTTGCCCAAGGTTGGGGACCACTGCCTTAGAGCCTTGCACGAATGTTTTACATTGTACCGTGGTGCCCCGCTAGATGATGACCTGGCAAAACGACAAATCCGCATGATGATTTTTTCCGATCGCTATAGCGCTTCGCAAAACAGTGTTTCCTAGGGGCGATTTTCGCTGGACGATGTTTCGGTCTGTGCTTCGCAAGACTGGTTTTTTTCTGGGACCAATGCTTCACAAGACAACAATTTTGACAGCTAGGTCCATGACTCACAAAACGGGTGTTTTCAGGACCGATGCTTTGCAAGACAGCGATTTTTACAGCTGATCGGCGCTTCGCAAAATGGCTTCCCTTTGAGCGATTTTCGCAAAACGACGACGATTTTTCCCCACTGGAACACATTAAATGGATTTCAATGCATTCCAGTGGGGGATCGCATTTCGCGAGACAATGTTTTCACAAGACAGCAATTTCAATGGAACAGATTAACATAGTCTAGCGAGGCAGCACTGTAGTCTCTGTAGTTTGACTTTTGGCTGATGAAATGGTCATGTTCCATGATAGCTTACATTAAAACACAGCAGTTAGCCTTTAACTTGTCACAATGTCTTTTTTTGTTTTTGTTTTGTTTGTGTTTCTTGTTGGCTACAATGTGGCTACAATTTCAAGAACTAGGTTTCTTTGGAACCCATCAGGGATTTTTAATGAGAAGTTCAGGAAGAGCAGAACTTCTCTGACAGGTTGGCTAATGAAACCAACCTTCCTGTGCAATGGGTAAGCTGCAGGTATGTTTTGGGTGCCTTCTTGAGCAAAGGTAAGCAGACTATTTTCCTTTCCGATTAGAACATCGAGTTTATTAAGTGAGGCTGACTGCAAAACAGTGGCTCAAGGCAGACTTAAGAGGGTGTGAGTACACAGTGAGAAAAATATAAATTAATCCACAGTGAATTTGCACTGGGAAAGTTGGGTTTCTCTGGGTGAATTCGCTGTAGCTGACTACAGCAGACATGAGGAAATTGGCAATTAGCCCTTTTAAGGCAGCTTGTGCTGTAGCCATTCAAATTTGCAAGAGACACAGTTACAGCTGCAAACAAGGGCTGACTGCCAATTTCCTCCTCCTCCTCTCTCTCTCTCTCTGGTCACTACTTTGTTGCAGTGGTGACACCAAGCACTATTGCCATTATGAACAAAGCTGAAAACTTCAAGGATCGACTAAAGTTGTTCACAGCATTCTTCCCCAAAACAATTTCCATGGAGAGTGAGCTTCTCTAGTTCTGATTTGTCCTTAGTAGCCTCAGCAATCATCAAAGCTGCATCTTCACACCATTTCACAAAAGGACAAGCTGTATTCCTTTAGCTTATGTTCAACAATAACAACTCTCTAAGATCTGAGAAGCCATTTTGCCACTCAAGACCCATGCTTTCTAACTACATATAATCAGCTGAATCTTTGGCTCCAGTTGTCAGAAATCACTGTGATCATCCATAATTCGGAAACATCATCCAGGTATTTTCAACCAAGTTCTTCAGAAATGGCACTGCGGTTTCATCCTGAAATGGCTGACAAGCTGTTGCTCTGTTTGACACCTTGCTCAACAGCTTTCTCTCCTCTGCTTGCTTCATGTCAAAACATCAAAACCTGGCAGGCATTTTCAACAAGCTGAAAGCTCCCATTTAGGCCTTCATTCATGAAAAGCCATGGCAGTGAGCAAACACCAAGGTATTAAAAAAAAGAACCTTTAAATAATCCAGGTTTCTTTCCTGTGTCTTGATATAGCATACACTGTCACCACTAAAATGTTATTATTAATTTTAGAAGAACAAATACCAGACAAGAGAGTACAGTAAAACCTCCAAATCTACAGGATCAATATCCACTGATTCACTTATCCATGGTCTGAAAATATTAAAAATATTAGAAGAAAAAAATCCATTTTTTTCACGTGTATTACCAAACCGCCCACTAGAGGGAGTCAGAGACTGTGCTATGACTACAGTGGTGCCCTGCTTGACAATGATAATCGATTTCAGGAAAATCGCTGTTAAACGAAATTGTCATCAAGCGGAAAAAAACCCCATTGGAATACATTGAAAACCGGTTAATGCATTCCAACGGGGAAATACCTCATCGTCCAGCGAATATCACCCTTAGAGAACCCCCAATCAGCTGTTTAAAATCACTGTCTTCTGAAGCAGGGGTCCGGAAAACAGCCATTTTGCAAAGGGAAGCCATTTTACGGAGCCGGAAAAAAACATGGTTTTGCGAACAAACGGTTTGTGAAGCAGGGTTCCTAATCAATGTCAAGCAAAAAAACCCATAGGAACCATCGTTTTGCGATCGCAATAGCGATTGCAAAAACTCATCGTTAAACGATTTCGTTGTCAAGCGGGGCACCACTGTACTTGTTAATGAGGTTCTTGTAATGCAGGATTTTTGTTCCTTTTACCATTCTCTCTCTCTCTCTCTGTCTAGTTTGCTATTATCCACAGTTTTCAGTATCCATGAGGTGCTTGGAACCATTCCTCAGTGGATATGAGAGTTCTATTGTAATTTATTTAGGCTGCAAACCAATGTGAAGGAATAGACACTTTTTATCTTGGCACACAAAGCATACGTATGGGGAACAGAGAGCAGAAATGTTACCTTTAGGCTATGACTCCTTGTATTTCCCAGTGTGACCAAAAGCCAGGTTAGGTTAAGGATTCTAGGAGTTGAGCTCTGATTAGGATCAACCAAATCTCTCTCTCTCTCTCTCTCTCTCTCTCTCTCTCTCTCTCTCTCATGTCATTTCTTTGGCTAGGGAGCAGCTGGGGTACAGCTTCTGCTCATGCTGTTAAACTGACATCAGGAGTTCCAAAAAGGAAGAGCCAATGTGTGGTCTCTTAGCCTCACAAGCATCAGCTAAGCTTCCAGGAGAGGGAATGGACTGTCTTCTGCCATGGTACTAGTGATGTTCCCTTGTCTTGCATGGAACCACACTGCCGTAGCTTCCAGAAAGTTAACAATCACAGGAGAAGAGATCTCAAGGGCTGGATTCCTCTTTCTCTCTCATTCTCCGGAAAAGGCAAATTTCTAAGGCAAAGGACAGATTGTGCCCCCACTTTCATTTCATGTACAGAGGCCAAGTAAACTAGCAGTTGAGTCTTATGTCAGCCCTGTCAGTTGGATAAGATCTTCCAGTGGCAGACTAGCCCAGGCAGTGCAGGATACATCACAGGACTAGGGTGCCCACTGCTGTCATTGAAAAGGAGGACTCAGAGTACAAGGACTGGCTAATAATAATAATAATAATAATAATA